CGAAAACCTTTTTAATCGTTGTCTAAAATTTTTATCGATAGCCTCGATCGAAATGGCTCACAAGTACCCTTGAAACCATACAAAATTCTAAATCTTCGTAGGTCCGAAAGGGGAAAACATCCCCAAATAATCTCTGCTAGCTTGCCCAGACATTTATTCCAGCGTGTCCCTAGAGGTATATGCTAGCCTACCCATGCTATAATCAAATTCCCAAAGAGTATCTGCAAGCTCTCCTAGTTTCCGTACTTTTCAAAAGATCTCTGCTAGCCTGCCCGCCATCTAATGTAAAATTCCCAAAGGATCTCTGCGGGTTCCTTGCGTGCTCGCACTTTGACTGGCTTCCTAACGGTCTCTGCTAGCATGCCCGTACCTTGAAAACCCGCCTACCAATAGCACACATTACCCAACAATAAGTTTTGCGTTTTTAAAAATTTTTTTTCCACGATCCTCTGCTAACCTGCCCTCCAATCACAAAAATCAATTAAAAAAACCTAGAAATTTGTTCCAATGTTGCCTGCAACCTCACCTAACCCATAAATTCTCAAAGGGGCCTCTGCTACCCGATCTTTCAAAGCAGTAAAAAATTGATCCAGTTTCGTTACGTGCCTCCTTCCAGAAAACAAATTTCTACACACCCCTAAAATCCAGCCATCAGCGCTGAGCCCGACTACAATCCAAACCAAATCCCCCAAAAGCCAGCTAAATACCGTAGCCCCCGGTGGCCGGAATTATGTAATTTTCCGATGCAATCCGCGCTGCCCGAAAATCCACGTGGATTTGTGTGACGGCCCTCTATCCTGAATACAACCCAAATCTAGCGCCCAACTCCCCCTAAAGGGCAACTCTTTTGAATAGAAACCCGCATGGAAAGCCCCGACCCTTTTTTCACACCCAACCGACCGTATCCCCGGCCGATGTCCGAAAAAGGGGAAAATCGGATTAAAATTCGTGAGTGCACCCCGCTGGGCCGGGCCTGAAATTTGCGTATTCCCCGCCCCACTCCAAAATTCCGTTTTTGTACGTCTTCACCCGGATCTTGCCTGGGTGGGGGGGGGGGGGGTCTGGGCCGACTCGAATCACAGATGCAAATCGCTGGGGCGCGTCTGCCGATTTTAAGGCGCTGCTGAATTTTGATATATTGTCGTGGCTCATCTCTGCGTACTCTGGATTTTTGTTTGGCTTTAAAGGGACTTGGAAGTCAGGCAAAAAACTTTGTCTTGCCCCGTTCCTCGCTGTTTTATTGTCTGTATTATGATTTTTTGCTGTAATTTTGGACTAAGACCTACCAGTAACGGTTACCGCTACGTTACGGTGAGTAGCCTGTTTCGTGATGGAAGTGCATGCGTTGCGTGTCGCGGCGCGGCTGGTCTTCTTCAAAATCCATAACTCGCAAAATCTATCTGCATTCCTTGTTCCCCCTTTTAAGTTTAGTTCAAGATTGCCAAATTTTGCTGGAGTTTAAAGGGGTTCGGAAGTTCGAAATTCGGCTCCTCCGGCCGGCTAGATCTCGCCAGCTGCGCGTCAGGCCAAAGCACGCAAAAAACTGAACCGCAAATTTTTTATCTAACATGAGGCGCCAACGTACTCTTATTAAGTATCTTATTAATGAAGCATCTTATTAAAATCAGCGTGAACGTACACTATCGTAGCTGTCGAGATCTAGGCGGCGGCAGAGTCGAACATGCTTCTTTTTTAGCCATCCAGCCCCTTTAGCCATTTTTCCATTCCTGAACTATCTCAGGGCATGCATGCCATTGCTTTCAGTCCTATTGAACGTGAACTATACATAACTCATTTAAACCTTAGCATGTCAATTGTCCAGAATTACATGGCGTAATATAATCCTCAGGCCTCAGCAAATCGATCAAAACCCTCAATCCCGGAACTACCACCACGCTGACAAAGCGGTGACTTAAGCTCAGGAATGTTCTCATTTTTGAAGGGCTGTGGCAATGGACAGGAGGAATTGCTCGATTTGTATGTGTGTTCATTTGGCATCGCCCAGGACACAGTGGGTCAACATCGGCGAAGAGAAAAGCGGGGGTTGGCCTCGAGACGGAAGCGCGCAGTTGAGGCTATTGCTACAAGGGGATGCATATAGTTTACAGGGTAACGGGATGTGCCAATCGATACCTCTATACCGAGCTAATTTATTTCTTTTAAGTATTTGAAGCTTTTGAATCATTTTTGTGCAGTTTTTTTGTTTTTGTCATTTTCCAGTTGGCTACTCAGTTGAAAGCATACAGTGTTGAAGGTCGCGTCACAAGAATGGTACCCAGTAAATTAAGTGGACAATAATTTATCTCATATTTTGAGCTCTTAGCTCACTTTTGCTCGGATGTGAGTTCCTGATTTTCTGATTTGGCACTCTGGCCAACCAGCTGTTGGGGTACAGGTACGTATTAACGCTTTGCAACCGCAATTAACCTCACAATTATTTTAACTTTGGTACCATTCTTGATGACGGCGGCAAACTGACCTTTGCGAAGCGCTGTGGTTCTGTGGCTGAAAGCGATAACCTCTGAACACCAGTTTTCAAAGCCCTGAGACTCGTACAAACATAAATCACTCCCCTCATTACCCCCATTAATCAATATTCGTCCAAATTCGTTTCGATCGCGCCCAGCTGACCCGCCTGCGCCCCGATGCGCCCCTTGCGTTCCCCTGCCTTCCCCCCAGTTGGTCAGTCGATGCAGCCGAAAAATATTTTTGGCTTCTGCACAACCCGGTCGCTTCCTTTTGCTTGCATGCTGATAGTCGACGCCAATTTTGGACTAGCGCCGCGATAAGCCGGAAGATGGATTGGTCTTGAGCTAAGGTATTGGGCAGAATCAAGCGGATGCGATCCTGATGTCAGAAATTTTTTCTAGCCGGTAGAAACTACATGAATTGACTATTGACGACGTAGAGGCCATATATTTTAGTCATCTTGAAGAGGTAAGCTCATTTCTGCCGATGTCTGCCAAATATCGACGATAGCCACTTTAAAGACAGCGTTACCAAAGACCAGGGGTTATCCAATTCATGGATATGCGGAGACAGCGAAAGAAAGGAAGAGAGAGACACAGGGAGCGAGAGAGAGAGAGAGCGTGAGAGAGATAGAGAGGGAGAGACACAGATAGCGAGAGAGAGAGAGGGAGAACTACAGATAGCAGCAGGAGAGAGCGAGCGGGGGAGAGAGATAGAGAATAGCAACATACAGAGACAGACAGTGCAAGAGGCGAGAGTGAACCAACAGACAACAACTTCATACCTAGTTTTTCCGTATAGGGAAGCCGGTCCGATGACAATAAACATCAATAAAAACACTTTTTGATGTCATCCACAACCCCCGATTGCGCAGCGATATTTGTAACATTGTATCCGGCTGTCAGTTTTCATATTGATATTGATATGGGTTCTCGTTGCTTATATCTGTATTAGAACGTTTTACCAGGCTTTGAGCTGGGTGCGCGTGTTTCGAAATATATGATTTTGAAACCTTAACGAGCCCAATCTGAAATTTTCCAAGTATACTTCCGGATGTCGCTCTTTATGAAGATCAGCCTTCCGACTAAGGTCCCCTTAAAAATTATGCTTTACCAGAGAAACGTATTTTGGTAGGTTGTTTTATCGCATCGGTAGTCTCTTCGATACTGTAACCCGACTTTGGTGGTAAATACCTTCCATACTCTCATCATAACCCACTCTATATGCAAATTATTACCCTACAAAGTCCTTGTCAACAGGATTGTCTTGTGCTTCATCATTCAGCCAAGGGTCCCCACTGTGTCACTTGCGTGTGTCGGGTGATCGGCGGGTGAATATTCAAATCTGTTCCCCCGGCCGATACTCGACGTAATCCACCCCAGGCGGATTACAGACGGGGCACTGTATTCAACATTCGAGTGGAAAGGGGTGGAGACTATCACACATGTACTCATACTTGCCCAAAACTTGCGCTCCACCTTCGTTCTCATATTGGTCATTCTGTTTTATGGAACGTTGCTTGTAAAAACTATTAACTTATTTACACTGCTACATACCATTTTACCCTCTTTAACACGGTAGCCGTCATTTTCAGGTCGTGATACATGGAAAAAATAATTTTCTTAGGTTTCTTTAAATCCTGTTAAAGGGAAGCAAGATTGGGTCGATTCTACCACGATATTCTGACTTCTAATTCATATAAACTTCAGAATTCTGCTGTTTTCTGCTATTCAAAGCAATTCTGCAATTCTGCGATTTTAACGGTAAGTTAATTTTTCCAGGAGCTGATATATAGCAATTATAAGATCAACTACTCTCTTTTCCTGCAGTTTGCTCTGTATGAAGTTATCTTACAGTCATTGTGCACGTGGCAAATGCACTCTCTGGTATACAGCGACAGTGGGACATTCATGAAATCTCGCTCTCTCTCTCTCTCTCTCTCGCTTTCTCATTCCAGTCGCTCGCTCTCTTTTTGGCTCCTCTCAGTTGCCTTACTCTATCGCCCATCTCTATCACCCAGTCGCTCTATCTGCCTCACTCTCACTGCTCCTGCAGCTCATGCCATCTCTCTCTTGCTCTCTCTCTCTCGTCTTCTTTCTGTCTTGCTTTTTCCTTTCACCATATCCCTCTCCCTCTCTCTCTCTCTCGCCTTCTCACTTGCTTTCTAGCTCTCGGTCCGACTCTCCCAAGTTCTCCCATCCTCACTCTCTCCCGCTCTCTCACTCTCGCCCTCCCTATGTCTTCCTCACTTTCTCACTCTCTGTCACTCTTTCTCTCTCTCGCTCTCCCTCTACCTCTTTCAAGGTGGAGTGACACCTAATTTACGCAAAAAATTCAACTGCCTACTTGGAACCGGTAATTTTAACTGGGTCAGCGCTACAGTAACTTGATAAAATTAGCTTAAAATATTCTCCAGTGTCTCAAATACGAGACCAAAAATTTATTCAAAAAGCCAGCATCCGAACGGGGGTAATTGGTTATGATGGGTACGGTCACGAACGGGGATTCACAGCAATCTGCACGACCAATTACGCATTGAAAATCATGGCGCCGATGAGGGAGACGGTGGCCAGGTAGATGAACACGATGACGGGGCCGAACTTGTTGGTGGCGGAGGTGGGAGCCGGTGCCTCATGCTGGGCGATCGGGGACCACGTTGCACAGGCTCGTGGCGCAGCACTGGCCACGGCCTTGCTTCTCGCGGGCCTGGAAAAAAGGGAGATTCTTAAAAGGACTGTTAAGGGCCAGAATCCTATAGGAAAACCGCGCTAATTTTTGCTTTTGATGTAACTATTTTATATTACACTATTTTTAGCGAAATTCAAACTCGCAATATATTTTTGAATGCTCTATCAAATTACGTATCGAAAATGTAGAAAAATAGCGAAAAAATGAAAAATTAGCTTTTTAGCCGCATTTCCAGAATTCGTTTTTGTTTTTGTTATAACTATCTTTTACCATATTCTGATCTGCCATAAAAACTCTTAGCATATTTTTCGATGTACTATCGAACGACGTTAAAAAAATCCCAAAAAAAACCTAAACTATCGAAAACTTGGGGACCCCTCGCAGCGAGCCAACGCTCGCCCCGACACTAATGAATGAATCCAACTATATATAAAAAAATAGTGTTTGTTGCTGTGTGTGTATATTTGTGTCTGCAGCCTTCAGTTAGGATGTTCCGCTCCTACAGCCCTCGGGGAAGGGTTTTTGGATAGGGAAGAATCAGTAAGAGTTTACTTTACCCCCCCCCCGCCACAGCCGAAGGGTCTCAAAGTTGTCGGTGTTTCCGCTTATTTTATCTGGGATTTCCGCAACGCCAATTGATATGAGAGTCGAAAATATACTAAGAGTTTTAATTTGAGCCTACATATTGTAAAATAAAAAAGTTATAGCCAAAAACTTCCGGCTGGGGGGGGGGGGGCAAAGTAAACCGTAGCCGAAGAAACGACAATAGGTTTAGAATGGTCAGGAATCGACTGCACACATCAAAAATTTTGAAAAATTAGGTTTCGCTATTAAAAATAGATTTTTGTAAAAACCCTGTTTGTTACAGGGGAAATTAGCATACGCCGGAAGTAGGGAAGAGCCTATATAAAGGCTAAGGAGAGCCGTTTTTCATTTTTTTCTTGCTAGAATTCAGGAAGAAACATGCAAGTTAAGAGGACTTTCACAGGTCCTGGACGGGCCAGGGGTTGAAAAGCCGCGAAGCGGTTTTCCAACCCTGGTAATGAATGAATTTTCCGTATTTCTTTACAAGGGACAGCGACATGCTAGCTAAGCTCCGCCTCAGCTGGCTTTAATTTGAAGCTAACTAAGTCCCGAAATTTTGAACCCCACCTGGCGCAGTCCTCCCCGGTGTGCAGGCGCGTCTCCTGCCTGGCCCGGGAAGTCTGAGAAAAAAATGAAAAAACCATTATCGACTCCTCTGGATTTTTCAACTTAAAAAATTTTTGCAAAAATTTGCCCACATGTTCCAAAGCACATCGTAGCACCGTGGTGGTCTAGGCTGCATAATGGCCCTCGTTTCTGGGATGGAACACTGAGGCTATGGGGGGAGTCAAAAATGAGAGTGAGGAGAGAGAGAGAGAGAGAGAGAGAGAGAGAGAGAGAGGGAGCAGAGAGAGAGAGGACGAGTGGCAGTGAAAAGACGAGAGAGATAGGGAGAGGAGAGAGTGAGAGATTGAGAGAGAGAGAGAGAGAGAGTGGCGAGCGAGAGAGAAGTGGAGAGAGAGAGGGGGGCCGCATGTTCGTATTCCCCAAAAAATGTAGAAATCTTAACCTGCTCGACGTCGCCGGTATGTGTGTAGCATTCCAGCGAGGCCGCCACGGCGATGAAGGCCAAGACGAGAAGAGACTGGCAGCATCACTAAAAAGTGGCACATGTGGTTGGCTTAAGGGAAGTTACAAGTTCAATAAAATCAGAAAACTGATTAGCAATACGAAAAATTACCACACGAGCTGTGAAAAAGCGTTAAATTGCTCACCGTTCCGTGTCGTTGTCGAACGGAAATGACGAATTTTCCCGTCAATGCTGGTTATCACTTTTTGCGAGTTTTCGGTTGCAATATGCAAATTTCTTAAAGCTGGATCAAACTCTCTGAAATTTGAAATAGCATTCCCTACCGTTTACCAGTCTTGATTTTGTAGTTTTGTACTTCTTCTTCCGCGATATTCTATTTGTAACTTCTCATATTTAACGTCTATTTCAAATATTTATTCAAGAAACAAGACACATCCATGAGATCAAAAGAAGAAGCGTGGCACGACGGGTTGAAGCGGTAGAAGTGGCTGCTGAGGGGGAGGGACACCCGGCTGGGGTACTGTGCTAGTTGACAGCGTTTCCCAGATTCAAGGGGCCGAGGTTGAGGCTGGCGGAGTTGTTGGTGCAGTTTTGCCTGGCCTTCGAGGAGCGCGTTTTGTTGTACTTGGCGTTCCAAGACCTAGAAATATAGATTTCAAATAAGGCCTGATACCTCAGGGACCTGCCTAGGAAATGTTTACTAGTTTTTACACATTTTTCTTTTACGCTTTTGGGATTATGTCGCGTTTTTTTTTGCTTTTAAAACACATCAATGTTTTTTGTCTGCGTAAATTTTTGTAGAAACTTGTACAAGTTTTGAAAATTACTATATAGCTAAAATCTAACAGACCTGCTGCAACAGATTCGGTCTCTCCACCCTCAGCTTCAGATACGGGTCCAAGATTGGCTGCACAGGCTGCTGATTTATCGCCATCAGCTGACGAACGATTTCTTGGTTGTCTAAAAAGCATCTCTACCCAAATTCAGCTGTTTTCTTACTAGCTTCATGGTCTTTCAGGAATATCTGCGGATTCAGCTTTCGCAACACCTCTTCCGGGTTTGGTGGCGGGCCTAGGAAGGTTATTTTAAGCGCATTTAAATGTTAATTCGAAAAGAAAGTTCAAACTAGCCTGTAATGAGTGGTGGTAAATCAAATCTGCCGTCCTCGATCAGCGGGCTGTTTTGGAATATTCGTGTATCAGCTGAGGTATCCCTGCCTAAAAATGGAATCTTCAAAACCGATCGTTTCCTCTGCCTTGCTGTTTAAACGTATTATGAGCACGGTTTACCACCGTACCTCCAGTTTATAAAATTCTACTGCATATTGTGCTAACTTGCTTACCTATAGGATAAAACGGCTGCACGTTGGTGCTGGTATCTGGAGGTAGAGGTATGGGAGCAGGACCAGGTGGGGCCACAGCCAATGGCTTGACCCTCGGATGGGCTTCGACATTTGGCGGTGGGTCTTGTAGATGACGAACAATGGCGTCGATTTGGCCCTTCGCGGCGCTTTCGGGATGTACCTAAAAAGTCGATCCCTTCGACTGAAAGACTTCCTCTTCAAATTACTACAAGTCACTTTTAAAGGGATAGGTAAGGGATCCCTTTTCATATTTTTTTAATATATCAATAGAAAATACATGCCTTGTCGGCCCCTTTAAGCCCATAGTGCTGGCGGATTTCCAAAAAAATCAGTAAAATTTTGGCCTATTTTTCTCCAAAATGTACGTGTATATCGATGGCCAAAACACTATTAAACCCAATCCACTTACCGGCACCGAGTTCGACTCGTTGTTGATGACCTCGACTTGGACTTGTCTCTTCGCCCTCGTCGGCACGTTCGGCTTCCAGGGCAGATCTCTCGGGATCGCGATCCGGGGATCCCTTAAAACCCATCAATTCTGTTAAAAAACGCTTTCACTTAAATCCATTGTATCGAAAATCCATTAAATATGCGATACCAAACCTATGTTTCGGATAGTCAAACAACGAATTGAAAGGGTCGATTTGGTTGATGTTGTGGCCGTAGGTGATCGTGAGATTGTCGCGGTCTGAGGGTGAGAAAGAGAATTTGCTATCTTCGCGTAACATCTACCGTAATAGATTTTTCCGGAGAACGGAAACCGATAAGCGACACCCTTGCTGAGCAAAATCAAACGTCAATATTCCCTCAACTCATCGCTACCGCCCCAATCGTGTTCGATCTATGAGAAATTTGTAAGTACGCTTTTGTAAGTCCTTAACGTACTTAGGTCCGTAACACACGTAAATGTTCAGGTCAGCAAAACAGATTTTTCTCTCGACCACGAAATCGGCATCGTCTTGTATTCCCCCTTTTACACCGCTAACTTTTTGATTTTTACTCTTTAACACTTTACACCAACCATACGGTCATCAAAAATGGCCATGAGCGGCGGCTTACAGTTGAGCGGTTCGTGTGTCCTGGCAAGTTTTCCAAGCGGAAGCACAAACGGTTTGCTAAAAAACACTATGTGATCTCGGCTCTCGCTTGAACACTAGAATTGGAGCATTTATCCAGGTCACACTTTCTTTCTACTTTTAGCTGCTCATACCTAAGCCTTCTTTTGAGTCGATTGAGTTTTTGAGTTGCGCAAAAATCAAAATCACATTTATCCAACTGGTATAGCCGAATGGTACACGTAAATTGGAAAGTCACATAGGAGTGATATTAACAAAACTTCTTGACTATCTTTGCTCATCACCAGGGATTGGGACGCCGGGAAGGAGGTGCTGAAAACCAACCATATCGTATTTATCATACCATAAAAACAATGAGAAATGATTTTAGACCATAATTTCATACTTGAATCAACAAGTCCAGCTTCGCCTCAAGCCTCAGCGTATGATTCTCCAAGTCCTGAATCCGATCCACAATACTCCTCAAGGCCACCAACCGGGGCACGAATTTTGCACCAAATTGGGAGCCTGGAGAGGGTGTTGTTTGTATCGGAGCCGAGATCGTTGAGGCGACCGTCACGGTGGCGGGTGGAATTTCGGTGTTTTGGGCAAGGAACTGCTCGAGCGAAGCGCTGGGGGCCAACGGCGGCTCGTCATCGTCGAGCATAATGAGGTCGTCTTTTTCAGGAAGTTCATTCTTGATGTCGAGCATTCCGTAGAGACGACTGTGATGGTTGCTACCACAGGGTGGATCGAACTCGTCCGGGTCCGCTGTGTCCTCCTGCAAAATCAGAGATCCGAAACGTAAAATGGATTGGATCGTACGGGACTGCCAACAGCAGCAAAAAAACCATCTGCCCTATCGCAACTTAGCACCTAATTTTTCTAATTTTTCCTACGATCCAGAAACCTCTAGTAAAATAGCAATATGTATTTTAATAAGGCTTGTACCACTGGAAAAATAAACTGCAAATAAGGAAAAACAATTAACCTTTTTGCACTTTTAATGAAGATTTTGTAATGTTGTTGCGTTTGAGAATCGCAGAACCATGAAACTTCCGCTATTTTTATTAAAACAAAGATATAAATATTTATGAAAAAATTAACCATTGCTCGAAAAAATATCTATTTAGAAACTGCGTAAAAAGCTAAATAGATGGTGCTGATTTGATTATTCAGATGCGACAGTGTGATGGGATATAGTTAGGTTCCTCGCTAAATTCCCTCCCCACCCCCGCTAACAGCCAAGTACCAAATCTAAGACGACCAAAAACATAAAACTTCTACTATAAGTTTCTTTTACTCACCGCCGGCTGCCCGACATTCAGGAACGAATCCATTCCAAATTCGGTAAATTCGCCATAGCGACGGCAAGCTTCTTGGATAACACGCTCGATGGGGGAGAAACTAAACCAACATTTTGTAAGTCAGGAAAACTCGTACACAGTGATTCCTGCGCTAACTTTTGAGCGCAACTTCCTGCGCTTGTTGCTCACATGCCAGCGAAATTTATTGCCAATTTTAATGAGGGCCCGATCGCGTCGGATCAGCTCTTCGTTGATGCGGTTCCGGATCCGGTCTTTGATTCTTGAAGTCTAAACAATTTCGTGATTAGTGTATAACTTGCTAATTATCATCTTACAGCCTATAGCTAATTTTCCGTGACTGTACGTAACTTACGTGATATTTGCATAGCGTAAGCGAATCTCCCAACTTACTTTTGGCGAGTCCCAACATCTTTCGATTGAGCCAGCAGCTGCTGGTGCTCGTCGGAGTACCACAACTCGTGCAGGATCAACGAGACGTCGTTTGGAATTCGGACTATAATGGCTGTTTCATTGTTCGCGTTAAAAAAGCTACCTTTTGCGCTCGATGGTGTCGACGGGTCCTCGTCCGCGCCACGCTTTCGACGCGGGGCTGAGCCGATCATTTTTCGGTTTTAGACCTATAAAAATTTGAATGATACACTTAGTAATAAAATTAAACAAAAAAATATAGGAACACAATTTTAACGCCAAAAATATGTGCCGAATATTAACGTAATTAACTGACTGAATAAACAGCTGACGAAATCGTAATTAAGGTGTCGACGTAGCGATTAACTTTCGAAATAAGCAATTTAGAGCCGTTTTATGAGAAAGTACAGCACATGTACAAAACATACAACACTTGTACTTCTTTTTAAAACAGTAAAATGTAAGAAAACGGAGCCAATGAAAATCAATATGAGACGCCAAGAAAAATGTCCGCCTTGGCAGTGCCGTTTGTTTACACGGGCGGCCCCGGAATCGATTACTCGGGCGCGTAAGTGCACTTTGGCGCCAGTGTCACCCCATGGGGGGTACGGTGGGCTGGGTGTGCTATGAGTGGGCGCCACAAACACTGCCTTGTTTATGGGTGCACCGGGTCGGGGGTTGACCCTCCGAGGAGCGTTTTGTGAGTCACGTTTTCTCGGGTTCTAGCATAAACGCGAAGTGCTAATGTTGTGTCGAGCTTCAAAGGTGTAGCTCAGCCTTTGCCCTTTTCGTCTAGTTTTTTTGCCGGTTTTGCCGATATTCATAAACTTTCTGGGTGATGTAAATTGACTCTTTAATCTTACCCGTTACGGTCTCTACCTTTTCAGAGATTTGTACCGGGATTAAAGGGACTAGAAAAGCGTTGAATCGACCCATGTTGTTCACTAGCAAAGAGAGAGGCTGAGAAAGAACGAGTGAGCTAAAGAATTGGCGCGGGGGCGCGACGGATGCTATAAGGGAAAGAAGAGGGAGCGAGGGAGCGAGGAGATAGGAGAGAGAGGGGTGCCAAGAGAGATGTAGAGAGAGAGAGAGAGGAAACCTGAGATAATAATGCAAGTGAGCTTCAAGATATCTTGTATTGTTTTCCCCACATTTTAAGCTCTGAAAGCGTACCTAAGAACGGTTCCACTGTCTATACTCCTCTGTATTTTTGCATAATGGAAAAATAATGAGTAAGTTTGGAAATGTTTTTGAAACCTACCTCGATTCCAGTGTGGAGCTCAAGGCTGCTCACCAGCTCCACCAAAATCCTCCTTTTCCAAGTCCATCATATTCACCGGGTGGTTGAGGTAACCAAACTACAAAATCACATGCCAAATTTGTAAGAACTACCGTACCTTCGTAGTCGTATCGTGAATACGGTTGAAGAAACGGCCGTAGATGTCCAGGGACTCCCAAGACGGGATGGCCAGGTTGAGGTCACCTCCGATGTGCTAAAAGGCGCTAGCGTTGAAAAGTCATATGAAAATGTTCAAAATTTAACGTAGTAATTGCAAAACATATACCTACCCGAGAAATCGATGGATCCAAATCCAGACCTCCAGAATATTGGTTTTGAAAGGGAAAAACGGGCCAATAATCGCTGGGATGTGAACGGCCGGGAAGGGGTTCCTGGGGACCTGAAAAATCGGAGAACTCAAGGAGTAACCATTCCTTTAAAATTAATATACGATACGGGCTGCTCCTCAAAAATTATCACTGGAGCTCGGCTAGCTTGCCAATACCTAGAAATTTTCAAAAAGTCTCGGCTAGCCTGCCCATGTCTCCAATGCTTCAAAGAATTTCTGCTAGCTTACCCACCTGGAATCATATAGGGCTGCGGTGCCAACTGCCGCTTTGCCAATTTGCTGTCCGCATCCTGCTTCATCCGCTTGTAGAGAAATTTATAGATGTCGCCGGGTTCCTGAAAAATAAGGTACAATAATAATTTTATTTGCTGTAAAGCACAAAAAATTAATTCTTGGCCACCTCATCGTCTTCAGCTTCGTCGCTCACGTCATCGTCATTTCGCAACGCTCCGAGCTTTACTGCCAAAAATACGACGAGTAACCATAGGACACGGATTAGCATAAGCTAAAAATAAAAATAAAAAGTTTTCTTGTTGCCATATCTAGAGCGAGAGAGAGCGCGAGCCAGAGAGAGAGAGGGATAGCGAATGTGAGCGGAACAGAAGGAGAGAGATAGAGAGCGCGTTAGGTAGGGAAAGATGAAGAGAGAAAGAGGGAAGGAGAGAGGGAGAGAAGGTGAGAGCGAGCGAGAGCGAGAGAGAGCGAGACCGGGAGAGAGAGAGAGAGGGAGAGAGAAAGATAGGGAGGGAGGGAGGGAGGGATAGCGAGGGAGAGCGTGATAGAGAGCCAAACTCAACAAGCAGAATCGAACAATAAATAGGAATAAAATAAAAACGGCCAAACGGTTTCGTAAATGACCTTGAGCATATATTACCATGAGGTTTTCGTACGAGAATGACTTGTTTACTGTTTCTAGCCATGTTAGCGCGCATCACGAACAAGTTTGAGTGAGCAACATCACTTTTAAAGGTATGTACCGACTAAGTTGTTTGTAGACAAATCCGGTTCTTCTTCAACTCAAATGCCTCCCTTGTTGTTCGACTAGACAGAACGGTGTTTTAAATAATGTTAATTAAAAAATGCACAGAAATAAGTATATAATAATACTTAGTATAACATACCATGGGGGGTACTGAAGCCATCAGGGAGGTATCTAAGTAGCTTTTGAAGGGATTTCAGCCATGGGGGATTCTGAAGCCACTAGGGAGTATATTAGGTAGTTTTTGAAGGGGATTTCAGCTATGGGGGCTATCTGAAGCCATCGGGAAGGGATTTAGGTAGTTTTGAAGGGGATTTCAGCCATGGGGGGTATCTGAAGCCATCAGGGAGGTATCTAAGTAGTTTTTGAAGGGGATTTCAGCCATGGGGGGTATCTGAAGCCATCGGGAAGGTAGCTATGTTTTTGTGGGGGTTGGCTGGAGGAGGTATCCTGAAGCCATCAGTGTAGTTATTGCCATGAAGGCATCAGCGTAAGGTAGGGATTAAATGTGGTGGTGTAGAATATGGAGGGTGGCTTTGAAGTCCAGCTGATTGCAGTCGCGAAGCGGCTGTAATCGGCTGGTAAGTATAAATAATACTTAGTATAACATATTACTTAAGTATAGGCAGATAAAAAAAATTTATGGTATTAGATCGATCTTCCCGGGTCCAGCTTTCGATAAAAAACGATAAGCCCTGCCAAAACGCCCGAGGTCGATAAGCTGGCCGCCGCGGGCGTTTGCTGTGGCGGGATCCGGAATGATGTGTGTGTGGGAGTTGTTTGGAGGGATGGATAGGACAGAGAGACGGACAAACCTGCCGCCGAGCACCAAGCCATCAGTATCGTCTCGTACCCCGAGGGGCGGACAGGCTCCCTCCTCGATCCCGAATCTGCCACAAGCTGTGGGCAAGCCTCGGGTGTGCGATGGCACTTTAGGATGTGGCTGAACTTGGAGCGTTTGATGCGTTGTGACGAAATCGGAGCTTTTTCCAGATCTTTCAAGGTTCTTAAAAATTTTAATTCATTAAAACTTGCTTTTTCAAGTTTTAAAGATAGCCGCACTGCATCGAAATCCGATTAAAGCAATGTCGACAGCCGTGACAAACTGGACAAGAGCGACGAGAAAATACCGAAGCCGGAAAATCCCGACAGCGATCGATAGCCAAAATACGATCGCCAAAATCCCGATAAAATCCCGACACCAAAATGCGATTTCGGATTATAAGAATTTACGCTGTCGAGATTTTTGCTGTCGGGATTTTGGTCTGTCGGCAGTAGGATTTTCGGCATTTCGGCATTTTTGCCCTTCTACGCGTCTCTTTCAGGCCCCTTTAATGGAACTTTGTGTTTCTGCCCCGGGGAGCAAAAACATCCAGTCTACTTCTTTGAGCTTGCCGGAAGCTGTCGGACACCGTAATTAACCCGGCATACCTCTAAAAAAGCGCAAAACGGCAACTTACGAGGCCGCATAAAATAAGAGATGTTTGTAACCGCGAGAAGAAGTTGTGCCGGGAAGCCATTTAGCGCCTGAGACCTGGGGTCGTGTCTTTAGCGCTTTCCAGCGCCTTTAAATGCGTACAGAGGTACCACCCTGAAAAACCCACGCTTCCGAGCCCATCCGTGCGCGCGCCCCAGCTTATCCCCAAATGGATGCGCCCATTGTTTTAAGCGTATGGCCAAACTGCACGGAACGTTTCCTGTTTACGATCGAAAGCCGTGGGCGGCTGCAAATTTTGCGCGGCGCCGCTGCAAGTGGCCCCCGGCCGAATAGAAATGGACCTCGGGTCAGGATCCGGGCTCTGAATCTCCTGCCCAAAATGAGCCGAAATCCGCTCGTTCATGCCGGCGGTACGCCCCCGAAAAAGCCAATTTTCAGGGGCAGCCTTTGGTGGATGCCGGGATTTTTCCCGGGGTCAATGGGTTTCTCTGGCATCCTGGTTTTTGCTTCCGGTAATCGCGGCTTGGTTTTTGTTCAGTAGTTTTCACTATTTTCCTTGAAAATTTTAGAATAAAAGTTTGACTTTACTAGCTTGGATTCATTTTAAATGAATTTTCTCGCACCCTCTCGTCCTCTCTCAAAGGCCCTCTCTCGCATCCTCCCATTCTTTCCCCGCGCGCCGCTCTCTCCTCTCTCTCTCTCTCTCTCTCTCTCTCTATCTCTCTCTCTCTCTCTGTCTCTCTCGCTTGGTCTCTCTCACTCTAGCTACTTCGCCTCTCCCTCTCTCGCTCGCGCTGTTTCTGTCTCCTCCCCGCTCTCTTTTAGTCGAATTTTATTAACCCGGACACAAAGCAACAACCCAAATTCTATTCAAAATTTAAGATATACTGTTGGGATCCAGGCAGTAACCCGCTGACATTTTGCGAGTCTTACGGGGATGGGAAAAGGCTGAACTTCTGGCTTTGCCAACAACCGACAGCTGCGCGACACACCAAAGGACGGGCTTAAGAGAATATCATGGTGCTTGAGGGAGTTTTAGCGCATTACATAGCTCTAGTTTATCCTTCCAGACATCTTTAAACCAATTCCAAGTAGCTATATTACGAGAAAACCACTATAACATGTCTGGAAGCACTTCTAGCTGACCAAATTTCATTATTATGACCCTGGAAGGAGATGAGATTTGCGTCTAGAAGATGCATAAGAAGAGGTGAGCCCCAAGGCAAGAGCCTCGGAAGTGTTCCACCCATGTTTGCCCAAAACAACATCCCTGGCAATGTTATGAGTGCGGGGATGTCACCCCGGGAATCGTAATTAATCCCGAGAATCTCCAATTTTTGTGGGCAAACGGGACGGGTTTTTCGGAAGCTTGAAGGCATTTGGGCAACATGAGCCTGAGGTAAAGACTGCACTATAAAAATTATTTATAGAAACTTTAAATAATTTATTTTCGTCAAAAAAGTAAGCTAATGTATTAGCGGTCTCTGCCACTAAATACTCAGACATTACCATCTAAAGCATCGTGTACTTGTTTTTCGCCGTCTTTTCATACCTGGTTCACCCCAGATTCAGCTAATCGACGCTTTAGACCCATTCCAAGCGATATACCCAAAATACACCTGCCAACAATGATACGTAATCGACCCCAAAAATGTAGCCGTGTTGCTTGTTCGGATCCTACAATAGTATTCATGCGAATTTTTTTGTTAAAAATTCCGATAATTTGTCCAGCGTTTGGTCTTTTTTGCCAACGAATGCTGTTCCTCTACCAGTCCTTCAGCCACAAAATTAACACTTTTTTGGGCGCTTAGGGACCCGGAATTGGCTCATCGGGAAATGTGTCGACTGGCCAGACCCCCTCAAAAAACTATTGACGGTTCCGGGGACAGCCAGATCCCCCGCTGTGCGACCGCAGCGGGCGACAAATTTTGATGGATCGTCATTTTGTGGGTGGTCGGAGGGGCTAAACACATCTGGGAGTTTTGGTGGGTTTGGACGCGGATCTGGATGTTTAATAGCGGAAACTTTTTGACTTCTCTAGTTTCTGCTTCTGTTGCGCCTGGCTCAGAAAACACTCAAAATTGACGAAATTCATAATAGGCAAAATCAGGCGCTTGCCTTCCTTGCTCCGTTAATTTTTACAGCTGTTATCCGTGTTGCCGTGAACTCTAGTCAATTCTAGCTGTTTATCGCGAGCCTAACTATATTTATTTACCCTCTCGTCACTGTTTCTGAATCTTGACCTCATTAACTCCACTCGATGTACACGATGTCCCTTCTCGCCCCAATTTGCAAATTCCGATTCCGGATCGTCTAGCTCTGCTGGAATCTCACGTATTACTTATTAGTAGGTCAAAACTTTTTCCATACTGATGAAATATCAGCGCCCAAAATTGTCCAAAACGCTTGAATTATAGCAAGATATATTTTTACTTTGTGGAATGGCCAAAATTGTGTTTTTTAAAAGCTTTGACCGCGCTTTCTTAAAAGTCGGGCTGCACTAATGTTTTCCACGGATTATTCGGCAAAATAATGATCCACAAAAATCCCTAGGGTCCCGAACTTGCTCCAGAAATCTGTTTATCTATCAAAGCCAGCAAACCGATCTATCAATAACCGAGAAACTGGCCTAAAAACCACGCGGAACGCCCCCAGAACATCGCGGTCCCTTGTTCCCCTAACTATTTTCTAGGCCCATATTTTGGGTCATCATTTTTCATCTGGCTTCGGGCGGGGGCGCTCAGATCGTGGTGAAAACCTGGGTGGGGTTAGCCATGTGTTCTGCGAAAATTTCCCTTGGAGGAAGGCTATGGCTGTCTATAGCGCCGGGAAAATGCCCTATGAAAAACCTGACATTTGGACGTGGATGACGACCTTAAACAAGCACTTTATCCTTCTAAAGGGGCTGGGTTTGCCGGGCTTATTTTTTGTCGAAATATCAATTTGTCCTGAATTTGTTTTTCTCCGAAATTTCATTTTGTCGGAATTTCGACGACTTTTGCGCCTCGATTACTGATCTCCACATTTCGCAAATTAAAATTTCGGCAGAATGAAATTACGACAAGGTGAAAGTTCGACAATATTATTTTAGCCAATCAAAAATTATCATGATCCCATTCCTCAAGTTTGCCCTCGGATCCCGACTTAACTGCAAGGGTTTCGCCTTCCCATTAAAGGAGCTAGGAAGTGCCAGCTCGACCCCTTAACTGTCTCCTACTCCTCGATAAGCTGTAGACAGTTCCAAGAGCTGCCGATCTGTTAGTGAATTTCATGGTCCAAGGAGCTCCAATTTAGCCGGTACGCGTAGTTCGATGCGTAGCGTAGCTTCGTTGGACCCCCAATAGACTAGACGACTAGAACTTTTTCGGCTTCGTTGGGCCTTTGAATGGATTGTGTCGGCAGATCAGGTGGGGTCTCTGCGAGTTTTTTTGCTGCAACCTACGGCCACTATTGCCTCGAACCCCAGCATTTTTCTTAACTAATCAAATCGGGATGTTTTTTCTCTTAAAACCGCTACAAAACTCCGGTCACAACCATTTTCTATTCTAGTCTATTCCCAGCGGGGCTAAATTTGAAATGCAAGCTTGATCTCATCAGGGCTCTTTTCTAGCGTTGCAGCACTTTTTGCGACATTCGGAACGGAAGGGCTTTTTCAATGCTAAGAAACTGCAATTAGAATATCTCCCCATGACGTCACATCGTCCGAGTAGTTGCCAGTGACCGATGCGGTAACACCCGGCGCTGGGGAACCCCCTCCCCTGCTCCACCCCGAAAAAAGTCCCATTTCTGTCGCCCCCCGGGGCACACTAAAACGCCGGAACATCCGGATCTACGTCCAATTTTAATCCCAAGCGGAACTTAGTGACCGATAGCCGACACTTGTTATTCACCACCCGGGGCAGAGAACGGCACCTTCGTCATTTTTGAGGAGGAATTTTCACGTTTTTAAGCCGCGAAATTTGATCCTGGGTCCAGCTGACCGGTCCGGCGAGTTCTGGCCCACCTTTGGGAATTGTAAAAACGAAAAAGGGTTAAAAGGCTTTCTGGCCTCAATTTGTGACCGGATTTACTTTAAAAATGCCAAAAATTCAAAATTAAAAGCTTCCCTCTCGCAATACAAAATTCAAGGCCCTAACATCATCATAAAACCCAACATTTTAGAATGGTTTTCATCGTGAAAAGCGCCATTAAAATTTTTTAATCCATTAAACATTTCTTAAATCTTTAATTAAGCTTTTTCACAGGGGATCCGTTTTTCGGTTTGGGATTAATTTATGCAAGTCGTCCTATCCATCAGATATTTCTGAGAAATCCCAAACTTTTTTCCGGGATATCGCCAGGGATCGACCAAAAGTTTGAGTAAACATTCGGAATGCTAAATGAGAAGGCCGAAATCACCAAAAAGTTTGTTTTCGGTGGAAAGCTGGATCTATGCGTCGCTGAGTTAATGGAAAAATCCGATTTTGGAAATGCTAACCGATTTTGGAAACCTTATTTAATTTTTGGTGTTCGAACGCTAGGCTTCTCCTTCTTGCTATCACGTTTTTGTGGCCAGTTTTTGAGGGTCAATGGATATTGGTGGATTTTTTATTAGAAGACGATTTTTAAAGCTATGCTTTTTCCTTAACTTTCGCTTTTCTCTGTTCTCTCTCACTCTCTCGCTTTTTCTCTCTCTCACTCTGTCTCACTCTTTCACTCACTCGCTCTCTCTCGTTTTCTCTCTCCCTCCGACTCAATCTCTCCCTGTCTCTCTCGCTCTATCTCTCTCCCTCTCTCCCTCTCTCTCTCTCTCTTTCTTTCTCTCTCTCTCTCCCTCTCTCTTGCCCTACCTCTTTCCCTCCCGTTCTCTCTCTCCCTATTTCCGCCTTGTCACAACCCCTTAACTTATCAGAGCTCAAAAGTCCGAGTAAACTTCTTCCCAATCCCGAAGCTCAACAATCCAAGCCACTTCCCCCTAAAAACAGCTACGGCCAGGTAGTCTAATCAAATTTTCTTCAATTTCCAATTTCACGGCCGTAAACACTTCTGGTTCTGGGTGGTGCTTCCCCACACCCAATTTCCCGAAAATCCATTGTCCGGAAA